AGCGGCCCCCTTTCCCGGGGCAGTCCCTGCTCTCCCCTGCTAGAGGGGCACCCTAATCCGTCACCCCATCCGACTTCAGAATGTATTCGTTGGGTTCGGCAACTCACCACCAGCATCCAACCAAATCTAGCGGATCAACGGCGCATCAACTTAGTTCCTGGTCAGCTCGCAAGTTGATATTATCACGTCCTACACCGTCCATATGATGGGGGGCCACCTCCCATTTCATCACTCCTCAAACACCCGAGGAGCTGGCAGGCGGATTTGAACCCGGGTCGACTGGATCGATTGGGAGCAGAAGTCAGGCCTTAACTTCTGCCAGCCGCCTGCCTGTATGTATGTATGACTTAGATTACACTGTGGGCTGCGAGAGCCGTGGGCCAAAGCCGAAACACAACGCAAGGGTCAGGAGCACACAGCACAAGTCGGTTAGTCTTGTGTGCTCCCGACACCAACTCAGACTGCCAACACTCTACACAGCCACTCCGCAGCCCCTCCATCCAGGGATGGCGCTGCAGTGAAAACACCACGAAGGGCTCTCAGGTCCCGCTAGAGTGAGTCCACAAGTCTCAGCTAGGGCAAAGTCAAAGGCTCTCTGAAACAACCCCCCAAAACACCACCAACGAAAACGGAAAATAAAAATATGGTTAGGGCAGTCCCGGCAGGGGAGGGCTGCTGATACACCTAACATGCCAATAAAAACCCTCCAAGAGAGAAAGGCTAAGAGAGCTCGACACCACAAGATGTCTTGCAGCCACCTTACAACAACTGACCTCCTCTACCTGTCCCTTCCTGGGCTGGTCCAGTGGAGAAGTAGCCATATAAAGAAAAGGGACCACACACAAGCCCAATCACCACTGCAGGAGCCCGGGATAGACCAGCGGAACCACAAAAGCGATGTATGTATGTATGTATGTGGCGTATTGATGTGTGTCCATGTTTGCAGGTTCACGCTTAAGTGCTGCTTGGTGACTTCTCAAGTGCCACCTCATGAATCCACAACATGACGAGCTGCT